TCTCTCTCTCTCTCTCTCTCACACACACACACACACACACACACACACACACACACACACACACACGAACATCACACACACACACACACACACACACACACACACACACACACACAAACAAATCCATATGGGTCAGGTTGTCAGCCTGGTGTGCTGCTCATGATGGACAAGAAGTGCCTATCAATAACATGCTTAAGCCAGTTATTCAGACCATGTCATCTGTTGTGGCATCTGCTTCTTTCTAGAACAGCTAGTACCTTTTTTTTTCTTTTTTGGCGACAGTAGCCGTTCCGTTGGTGGGGAGCGAACACCTGCTGGTAAACCGGTCCAGCGTCCCTTGACAAAAATGGATACCCACACAAAACGCTTCCCCACGTTATGGCCCAGGGAACCCTGACAGCATTGATTTCTTCCTAGGAGGTATTGACTGTCAGTTTTCCTAGTCATTCTCCATCTACCAAGAAGCCTTCCCTCAAAACCGCCTATGGGCCTCGCCGGATGGCACAAGAAAGAAACGAAACGACCATCGAACTCGCGGGGCTTCGCGAGCCCCTAAAACATCGTGTCGTTGTGCCGAAACGAAACGACCTTCGAACTCGCGGCCCCTAAATCATCGTGTCATTTCGTTTCGTTTATGGTCTCACCTTTCGTTTATGGTCTCACCGCCCGACAGCACATTCGAACTGCCTCGCGGGAGAGACCTGGCGCACTCCGTTTCGCGGTGATTCACAGCGCCTCCACTGGCCATCGAGAGGACCTGCGAGTTCTCACGCGTGAGTTGCAGGCGGGTACGGAAGGAGCACGTGTGCAGGCTCGCGAACGCGAACTCTGACAGCATTCGCGACTTTCTTCTGACAGGTTTCTTGTGGTCACTGTGCGGCGAGATATTCACAAAACGTAGTTTTTTTCTTCGTTTCGTGTACTGTCCGGCGAGCCCCTATCTCTAGCTCCCAAATGTCTGTAAGCTATTACAGCTTCCTGTCTTTTGTCTATGATTTTGCTTAGGCCTTCCTGTTTGATTTCTTTCAGGGAAAAAAAAGAAATAACTGCGCGTACAACAGGCCGCCACTCGTGTTTTTTTTTTTCTTGCCTGCGACTTTTTTTTTTCCTGCACCTGCGACTTTTTTTTCCCACGCCTGCGATTGTTCTTTTTTCCTGCGCCTGCGGCTTTTTTTTTTTTTTTCCTTGCACCTTCGGCATTTTTTTTTCTTTTTTTTTTTTTTGCACATGAGTTTTTTTTTTTTTTTTTTTTCGTTGCTCACCCGTGGCTAGGCCACGGCCGAGGTGTCTAGGCCACATTAGTGGCTGGGCCATGGCCGAAATGTCTAGGCCACGCCCGTGGCTGGGCCACGACCAAGATGTCTAGGCCACGCCCCCGGGGAAACGACCGGTACCAGTACCAACCATTTTTGCCAATTGTTGAACTGGCAGGACTGGTACCGCTACCAGTACCTGTTTTTTTGCAGTTTAGAACTGCACTGCATTCACATTGCAGTCAGCTGTTATTCCTGCGAATTTGGAACTCTGTGGCGGTCACAGGTGCAGTTGTCTCAAAAAGAAAAGAAACTGTCCCCTCTCTCTATTTTTAGCCAAATGTCTACTTCTATTATAGCCACAAGCTTCACAATGTTGGGCCCCTGTAAGGTCCACTGTTTCCCTTATCACCCAGATTCCTGAACTACTACTCCCTCCAACTTTCCAAATAATTATCTTGGTCATTTATGTCTGCAAAGTTGGCTCAGCCGCCTCCTCATTCCAATGAGACCCATTCTCCCCAGGGCCTCCTATAGCCAACTCTCAGAGAAGGTCCTTTGCAATCGCTTTTTCTTCTGCTCTTCCACCATGTGCTCCAACTTTTGCAACCTTTTCTTCCAGTGTACTCTGACCTCCGTTTCTAGTAACTTTCTAGTAACTTTCTACCATTATCCTGAACTCGGAGCTCATATCCTGTACGGCAAACACGGTACCTCCCAACGTACGGCTACAACGTGATCTCCAAATGACCGACAACCCGGATCTCCTGAACAAATCCAACATAGGCCAATGCTGCAATTGTTTGCTGTCAAGATGAATTAAGTGTGCATGGGAAACCTCTGAGTGGAAACATTTTGCCACAGTATGCCGATCATCTGCCAAAATATGCATGCATGATGATAGTCCACAAAGCAATGTGATACTGATTCCTTTCATCTTGAGGCACACAATTTTTTGCATAAAGGGGGATCCTTTGTTCTGAGGCCTTGTTTCCTTCGTAAAGTTGGGTCCAACATTCATTTACAGGCACTGCGAGATAAATCAAGAGCCACTGCAACCCTATGTCATTTTGTGGCCGAATGGAAGTATACTTAGTATAGTAGTCCCAAGCAAAGTGGTTCGTGACCTCCACCAGGATCTGCATTTGCTTAAGCCATGTTTGGGTGATGATTGGTGTAGGATCTGCTGAATTGTTTCATATCGACTAGCAATGCCTGAATAAGCAAGTAGCCACAACGATGGCGTACTATGCAGTACCCATAATCGTGTGGTCCTCGGTGGTCTCGAGGGTCACCTTCAACACTCAAGTGTCGGTTGATACGCGCCTTGAGGGATTAATCTCTCGACGCTAGACAGCCGCTAAGGCAGTTGTGAGGCCTACCCTGTTCTACACCGTGTGGAGAGTGGGTGGTGGACATGTTTCGACCCTTTGTGGCGGTTTCCCCTTATGGTCCTGGAGACAAGCTTCAGTATTGGAGGCCTGGAAAAAGGTCAAGGGGTTTGACTTTGACGATCGCCACGGACATCAACATACAACTATAATAAATCAAAAAGAAAAAGGTAAAAGAGGATCTTCCTTTCCTTTCCAGTCAAATTCACTCGATCCTTGCGCACGGTTGCAGTAAACCGCACGGACACTTTAAATATGTATATATATGTAATATGTATACATATATAGAGAGGTATAAGACATCAGACGATCACTTCTTACAATCATTGTGTGACTTCCTTCAAGAATATATACGTGATCGCAGACAAGTCAAATCACGAGTCCGAACCACAATCATACATGCAATCACATCAGAATTTCACATCAACAGACCACGCACTACACAGGGTCAACTTTAACCGCTCTCTGCGCTCATACCCCTCGCCTTAGTCATATAAGTTTCGACCTTTGTCCAACCTTCCATAATAAAATACTCAATAAAGTCTGGGTGAAACCTAACAAAATAATTCAAACCACACGTGCTAAAGCCTTTAGGTTGAATGATGAGAATGAGTTAGAGTTTACTCGTAAACCGACGAATCGACAACCGACCTGTTATCAATGATAACAGAAGATGATCCTTGTGGGATCAACTTAAACTAGTCCAATCTTGAATCGAAATGATCAAAGAGGACTTGTAACAGAGCACATGTCAATTCCCAAGACTAAATTGTAAGTGTATAGAGAATAAACCTTTATATCACGCCTCACTAAAATATTTATCATAGTTAAGCCTGAACCTACCCTAAAACAAGTGTCAAAGGAAAGGAAAATTTCGGCAATATATTTTTCATACAGGATGGATTGTCAGAATTTTTTCAATCAAAATAAAGTTTACCTTCTTAAAGCTTAAGGGAATTTCGGCAGCGCTTCCCGTATGAAAAGTACTTTTTCATAATTTATACGCGTCTGAGTATGAAAATTGAAATGGTCATTAACTCTAACGGGTTAAATTTTGTGTGACTCCTCGAATTAGCAAAAATTTGGGCAGCATCTCTTTTAGAGAAAGAGACTTCTCAAATCCATACTAAGTCGGATAAGAACCCGAAATATGATTTGAGTTCTTGCCAAGATAAAATTTAACTAACTCTTTAGATTTGTAAAATTTCGGCAGCACTCCCTCTAGAGAAGTGTCATTCCAAAAATTTGTACAAAGTTAAATGCAAAATCCGAAAATGATTTAAATTTTCTGAAGTCAAATTTTGTTTAACTTCCTAAATTCCTAAAGATTTTGGCAGCACTTCCCCTAGAAAAGAAGATTTTTCATATTTTTACTAAGTCATATATAAAACTTAGATAAAAGTCGAACTTAAAAAAAAAACTAAATTTGACTAACTCATTGGTTTTTTGAAAATTTCGGCAGTGCTTCCTGTAGTGAAAGTAACTTTTTCAAAATTTATAGAAAGTCAAATATGAAAAAATAAAATTATCCTAGAAAATATTGAATTTGAACTAAGTAAAATAAACTTAACTCATAAAATGTAAAAATTGAACTAACTCCTGCAACTCCAGCACGTGGCGAGCATATAAAACAATTATTTATCAAAGCTGAAACTCGGACTAAGTATAGCTCACACTCAAAATTTATAGAAAGTCGAGTTTGAAAAAATAAAATTATCCTAAAAAATATTGAATTTGAACTAAGTAAAATAAACTTAAATCAGAAAATGTAAGAATTGAACTAACTCCTGCAACTCTAGCACGTGGCGAGCATATAAAACAATTATTTATCAAAGTTGAGACTCAGACTAAGTATATCTCACACTCAACCACATGCAAGTTCATACCACAATGGGTAATTACTCTCATCAAAACTCAAAATCATTTAATATAAGACAGTCCATTAAACCGTCAGATGACGATCTCTTATTCCCATCTTACATATAGCATGATGATAGGTCATTCAGCTTATAAACAATTTCTAACATGCCTTATATTATACACGAACATGTTGCACAACTACTTATTTTTTTCTTTGGGCATGTGACGAGACCATTCAACTTATAAACAATGCCTAGTCGCCCTTAAATATTCAAATTTTAATAACTTTCTTACTTGTCTTCGAAAGAAAAAAATATGGGCAGGGGATTGAGTCATTCAACTTAGAAACAATGCTCAGTTTGTCCAAGTGACTATCAATTATACTTTTTATTTTTCTTTCTCTTCTTAGTTATATGGCTCATGGTTGGACCATTCAGCTTAAAAACAATGTCCAACCACTTGTTCACATGCAAATAAAGGAAAAAATACTTCCAACTGTACTCCATTTATACTTATGTGCGTGACTTCAGGCTAAAACCATTTAACTTAAAAACCATAGTTAGTCCTCCACCAAAATTCTCTCTTAAAATGAAACAAGAGACCGAACCATTCAACTTATAAACAATGTCCAGTTTATCCTAAGTCACTCCAACTTATGAAATCATGAAGTTTGACCTTTCAACCTAACTTCGGTCAGAAACCCCAAAAGAAACAGATAGACCAAGCCACTCAGCTTAGAAACAATGCTTGGTCTCGAAGATAAGTTAGGCAAACCTTTCAAAATAAACATAGCAACCAAGTTGTTTAACTTAAAGCCAACGCCCGGTCCTTCAAAAAACAACCAATAAATATAGTATTGAGTCATTCAACTTATGATTTTGAGGGTCATCCGTTACGAAAAGACTTTCCCTTAAGTGGATATGTGGAAGTACGATACGATGATTCAGAGAAACGTGTGATTTCTGAGCCTATTGAAATGACTCAAGAATTTCGTTATTTTGATTTTTCGAGTCCTTGGGTCCCTGAAGATGGATAGAACTAATAAAAAAAAAATGTAATCCCGGGTGAGAAGAGAGCATGAAATTTATGAACAAATTTGCTGGAGCGGAACTATCTACTTTATTAGAACAAAGAATTACAAATTATTACACCAAATTACAAGTGAAACAATGTCCAACCTTTGGTTAACATGGTCAAACGCATACAAAATTGTTTTTTCTCCCACCTTCCCCGAGTTCATCTCTTAGTCTGCTTTCAGTCAAAATAAAATAAACTTGAGATTTACACACGCACTCCTTCCATTTAGTTTGATTGAGTTTTAAAAAGAGAATAAGATTTATAAGGGAACACATACATATCTCTCAGTCATACTAACGAGACATAGTCATAATAGTATAATGGGTTCATACATGGGAGAATAAGGTATACTTGATAGTTTCGTATTCCAGAACCTCACCTAGGTTTCGACAGAGC